TAAATAAATAGGAAACTGGCGGAATACAAAGAGAGGTACGTTACGCTACTGGGCCGGCCAAACTATATGTGCTACCGAAGGCGCCATAATAGGAACTTGTCTCTATGAATTTATAGATCATTGCTAAACAGGCTGTCATGTATGCATTTGGTCCATGGTTCGAATCAATTCTTAGTCATATTTTTTGGACATCCCTCTTTGATGTGCTGACATGCAGGACCCACACGTGTATTGTATGCTGACGTGCCGCCGGGCTGGACTGCAGGGTGTAGCAGGAGATTTAGCCAGGACTGTGTTGGAGCATATTTGAGGACCGTAGCGGAGCACTCCATGAGTTTGAGGACCATCGTGTTACAAGCTGGAAAACACAAGGACGGTAGTTGTAATATCTCGGAAAAAAGCTCGTTCACTCGCTTCGGCCGCCACGAACGAACAGATGTAGAAAGTGATGTGGCAGCCAGTGACGTGCCAAGGTCCCGTTACCTGATCAATGGTAGATAAAGGCATTGTGATTCCAAATCCCAAGAATCCGATGTCAGATTTGTATCCCTTCCATACCATATTTTAGACGAAAATTATCCGAACAACTTTCACCCTTATTCATACCATATCCTTAAAAACGGATACATATGCGGATTTGAAACGAAAATTATCTGTACCATCTACATCCTTAGTCAAGTCTTCTATGTACACCAGTATATACATACACCAAATCAATTTTTTTGAGCAATATATACACCAAATCAAGTAGATCAAGGGGAAAGAAAAATGAAAATGTGCTACCAAAGCCTCTCGCACACGACTGGTACTGACTGACTCGAGCCGAGTGGGCCGACGGACCGACTTGGACTTGGGTAGGGCACCGGCCCGATCCAAGTCCAACCGACCTCCTCTCTTCTCTTCACCTTGCCAAATTTGCGGCCCGCACCCCTCCAACCGGATCCCCACCCACCCCCACAATCGCTTCCGATCTGCCGCCGAAACCCTAGACCCCGCCGCCGCCGCCGATGGGATCCCCAACGGTGGCCCCCGCGCCCCTCCTCGCCGCCGCCCCGGACGGCGGCGAGGCGGACGCCAACGGCGACCACGAGCGGCAGCAGCAGCTCCAGATCGTCCCCTCCTCCGCCGTCCCCGCCCCCTCCAAGCCGCCCGAGCCGGCGCCGACGGTGGCCACCCACACGCGCACCATCGGCATCATCCACCCGCCGCCCGACATCCGCGTCATCATCGAGAAGACGGCCACCTTCGTCGCCAAGAACGGGCCCGAGTTCGAGCGCCGCATCGTCGCCCACAACCAGGGCAACGCCAAGTTCAACTTCCTCCAGCCCTCCGACCCCTACCACGCCTACTACCAGCACCGCGTCTCCGAGATCGCCGACGCGCCGCCCGCCCCCGACGCCGCCGCCACCGACCCCGACGCTCTCCCCTCGGACGACTCCGCCGCCGACGGCAAGCCCGCCGACGACCACTCCGCGCCCTTCCGCGTCGGCCCGCCCGCCAAGGTGCTGGTGCCGCCCAAGGCCGAGCTCTACACCGTGCGCCTCCCCGAGGGCATCACCACCGAGGAGGTGGACATCGTCAAGCTGACGGCGCAGTTCGTCGCCCGCAACGGCAAGACCTTCCTGGCCAGCCTCGCGTCCCGGGAGAGCACCAACCCGCAGTTCAACTTCCTCCGCCCCACCCACAGCATGTTCCCCTTCTTCACCGCGCTCGCCGACATCTACTCGAGGGTCATGAGGCCTGACGAGGGCGTGGCCGCCCTCATGAGGGAGCTCAAGGAGGGGACCAAGGACCTCACCACGGTGCTGGAGCGCTGCCTCAACCGGCTCGAGTGGGACCGGTCGCAGGAGCAGGCCAAGCAGCAGGCGGAGGATGAGGTTGAGATGGAGAGGATGCAGATGTCCATGATTGATTGGCATGATTTCGTCGTTGTCGAGACTATTGAGTTTGATGATGATGAGTTTGAGGGCCTCCCTGTGCCGCCTACGCTGGAAGAGCTGAAGCGCCGCAAGAGGATGGAGACCTTGGGAGAGGAGGAGCCCATGGAATTGGCTGAACCAGCCAAGGATGTTGAGATGGAGATGGATGAGGAGGAGATGCAGCTTGTCGAGGAAGGAATGAAGGCAGCAAGGCTCGATGAGAATGATGGAGGAGCACAAGTTAAGGTGGCCAGTAATGATGATGAGCCGCCTATGAGAATTGTCAAAAACTACAAGAGGCCTGAGGAGAGGATCCCTGCGGAGAGGGACCCGACCAAGGTTGTTGTCTCACCAATAACCGGGGAGCTCATTCCGATCAGCGAGATGGAGGAACACATGCGCATCTCGCTCATTGACCCCAAGTACAAGGAACAGAAAGAAAGAATGCTGGCCAAGATTAAGGAAACCACTCTTGCTCCTGATGATGAGATCTCCCGTAACATTATTGGTCTTGCACGTACGAGGCCAGATATTTTTGGAACCACCGAGGAAGAGGTTTCTAATGCTGTCAAGGCAGAAATTGAAAAGAAAAAGGATGAGCAGCCAAAGCAGGTTATTTGGGATGGTCATTCTGGGAGCATCGGTTGGACAGCCACTCAGGCAATGTCTGTCGGTGGAGAAGAACAGGGTGATGCCTCGAATGCTCCAGGTCCAGCTCCACTTCCCCGGCCTGGCATGCCGTTGCCCCGGCCTCCCCAACCACTTTCCTTGGTCAATGTTCCCCGATTTACACCCAATCCAATGCCTTATCATGTCCAACCCCCTCATCATATGCAAGGAGTTCCACCACATATGATGTCCAACATGCACCAACCTCTGCCACCAGGTCAACAACACATGATTAGGATGTCAGGTCCCATGGGTCATATGCCAAGTAATATCCCTCCGCCGCCTCCAGGCCATAATACTCAGTTCATGCCTGGTCCACCACGGTTTGCTATGCCCCCTCCCCCGCACATGCAGAACATGCCAACCATGGTCAACCCCATCGGAATCCCCCAGCCTCCACCACCTTTGCCTCCACAACCACCTGCCGAGGAGCAGCCACCTCTACCTGAGGAACCAGAACCTAAGAGGCAGAGAACAGATGATGCTTCTCTGATCCCAGCTGAGCAGTTCCTCGCTCAGCATCCGGTAATGTCTCTTTTCATATACTTCCACTCTAATCACGTACTTATCTTTCTTATTATTCTGCGCTGTCATGCTAATTTATTTGTTCCTCCTACAGGGCCCTGCTCGCATCTCAGTTTCTGTGCCCAACCTTGATGAAGGAAACTTGCGAGGCCAAGTTTTGGAAATCTCTGTCCAATCACTCTCAGACACAGTCGGCAGTCTGAAGGAGCAAATTGCTGGAGAGCTGCAGCTTCCTGCTAATAAGCAGAAGCTGAGTGTGAGGACTAGTTTCCTCAAGGACAATCTTTCTCTTGCTTATTACAATGTGGGCCCTGGGGTGGTCATCAATCTAGCTCTGAGGGAGCGTGGTGGGAGAAAGAAATGAGCTTTCCTTATCTCAGTTTACTCGCAGGACAATGCTTACAACCAAGCTTCAGTGGCTATCATGGAGATTATTTTTGTTGGTTGCTGCCTTCTGGATTCTTGTATCATGTGTTTTATAAGTCCAGCACTATGATCTGCACTATGTAGTTTTCAGACTTGTCTATGTTTCTTAATATGGCTACATATTGTTGGAGATGTTTATCCTTTTTATTACTTTTGTGTTACTCAAGAAAGCTAACGATGCCTACCTGCCTATTTGATAGTCCTCCAGAGTTCAGGTGCCTGCATTGGCTCTACCGTTTGCCTTCTAAGGTGTTCTTGATATCTTGAAAATGCACAATGCTTTTCCCCATGTTGGAATGTTCTGGGATGTCCTCTTATATGTATCTTTTGTGTTTTGTAGATGCTTCTGCACTGCATCAGTAAAGGTACTGTCTCTTCAAGTGTTTATTATGAAAGGTCTGTGGAAAGCCTATTATTGCAGTTCTAATTAAATTAGAGTTGTGGGTGATGGCTGATGTTCTAAATCTTGTTGACAGAATAGCATGGCATCTATCAGAGATCACTGCTGCTGGAATCTTGTAACAAGTATAGTAGTACATTGCTTATTGTGAACTTAATTATGCATGCAGTGAGTAGTGATGAGTATGGTTGCTCTTGCTGCTAAAAAGGCAGGCTGTGCCCTTTGTTGTGGTTGCTGGCGGTCATAAGTTGATTTCTGTAGGCTATGCATTTAATTTCATGTTTATTGTGGTGTTTTCATCCTAAGCGACTAAAAAATCACAATAGATGCTTTCTAGTTATTCTGAAGGCGGTATGTGTTTGGTCAACATAGGCATATATGGTTGTTTTGGTTCTGATAACGATTGTGTTCTTTTTTTAATGTTGTTAACCGACTTGTTCCATTGTCAATAATAAAATGAAGGGCAAGAGTAGGCACAATTAAGTTATGGTGCGACACTGTTTGCCATGTCACAGAAGTATCATTATGATTGTGCCTCAACCAAACATTTTCACTTCATGAAACCTTTCCCATCCGGCCATCCCTTGTAAATATCTGAGTTGGTGGTTGTCTGTTTGCCCCTTACCCATCCCCATTTAAAATTCAAACCCAACAACCTTTTCATGCCAAAGCTCATCGAATCTTGAGAGCAAAAGCTACCAGGGTTCGTCCAGTCTATAGACCTTGCACCAATTTACCCTGCATTTAATAGCAGTTCCTTTGTCCATAGTCTATAATTGGTAGATGAACGCGCCGGAGTGAATATCATTTGAGTAAACTATGTTCTATGTAGGTTTGTTTTTGCTTCGGTAGTGTAGCACATGCATCTTAACTAGTTCAAATACAAAATGTGTTGTGAACTTGGTCATTTACTATTATCTACAAATATTCTGATCATCTCAGTTGCCAGGATGCGACTTTGATACTTGCAGGTTTATAGTCTGAGTTGGCTTATATATCTCAAAGTGTATGGTATGAGCATATCAACTAGATTAGGCACAACTGGAGAAAGATTAGACACATCATGTTTGCTCTTCTTTTTTCTAGTTTAATTAATGCATTGAAGAGAAAGATTTTCTTAGCATATCAACTAGATTAGACAAAACTGGATTTTGTATTCTCCAGTTGTTGTTAACTAAGCCCTGCTCTGGTGAGTAATAATAACCCTGTGGGCTTTATGACTGCTGAGCTTTCAGTTAAATCACCAGTAGAAGGCTTTATGCCTTGCGAGCTATGAGTATCCCTTTTATTCATAATGTAGATGCTTACAAAGAGTTGTTTACTATTCGATTTTTTCACACATCAACACAGTATTATGTATGACGTTTATTTCTGTTTTTTTTAATCTGTTTCTCTGTTTCTGCCTGTTTTTATTTCTTATAGTAGGAACTTAATATCCTTTACTTCACAGCTGTGCCCGTCGTATCCACACAAAGCCAGTTCAGTGGTTTTACTGAACGAGCTTAAATTACCATTTCTCCGATTGCATGAGCTTGCAAATACTCATGAAGTCATGATGATGGTGGTACTCTTCTAAATGTTGTCGATCCAAAGTCTGACTACATGTTCTTTCTGCACCTAGATTTGGGATCATGTAAGCAAAAGGAGCTGTGTCTGGTGCAGCTTGCTTTGAGAGTAGAGCTTGGAAGAATGCACACTGAGAGTAGCTCTGATTCATAATTGGTAAGTATAAATTTAGCAACGGCGCCGCAGTTTCAAGTCCTCTTGGCCCTGAATTGCGATGATCTGTAGCGAGAACTAAATAAGTTAGAGATTGATGCAAGGATGCTCCTTGTGATGATATAGTTTTGTGTCCACAACCGTCATCCAAAATATTAAATTTGGAGATTCAAACTGTGCGCATAGATCATGGTTTGTCAAATTGAAGGAGATCGTTCAATAATTTAATTTTGTGCTTCCCTTTTCTGTGCAAATATCGGAGAGGCACATCTTGGCCCGGGTGATCAATCTGCATGTCATTGTTACGGCAAGTGAAAAGTGCTTAGAAGATACTCCTGTCTGAAAAAGCTGTCCCTCAAATGGATGTATCTAGCTCTAATTTGATGCTAGCTTTTTCGGACGGAGGGAGTATTTAGTAGAACTCAGAATAATCGTCAGGTACATGTCGTTAGGTGCTAATCCTCTGCGCATCCACGTCTGTAGCATAATTCACGTAATAAGAAGGCCTGAACTGCAGAGGCCTTTGCAAGAATGAACAATGTGAGCATCCTCGTCGAGAACTCAGACTTCTGGATTGGCCCTCGTGCCGAGGCTGTGCCCCTTTGCCGCCCCTAACTTCTGATCTTCTCTTCCAACCCCCTTGCTGGCCCCTCTCCGACCAATCTCCGGCGGCCATGGTGGTCGGCGGTGAGCAGGAGCGGGCGTCCCAACTCTCAATATAATCCTATATACTTTCAGCATAAATCAATACATATATGACCACATAGAACTGGCAACAAAAATTCGGGATGGGGTGGACCAAGTGTTGGCAATTACGCATATGAATGTTGTGACCATACAAACAGAGATATAGGGGCCACCCGAATGCCAAAGTTCAATTTTTGCCTTCAGTATCGACATCCAAAGGGGCCGTAAAGGATAAAAGGGACAATAACGTACACAATCAATCACTCCAATGACCATTGTTGTCCAATTTCACTGACACTCGGGTTAAGAAAAACGTAAAGAATGGCGGTTAAAAGACGGACAACAACATCTCATTTGAACAACATTTGTCTATGTTAATCATTATCCGAAGTAGGGCAATATAACGTCTTAAGAAACAAACAAGAGAAAAGGAATGAAAGTAAAAAAAATCATATGAAATATGATACGATGTAAACATTATCCATTTATTCCTGCATCAAGGGGGAGTATGATTCATGGAATAGTTTCTTAGATGTATTGCCCTATCCCAGGTGTTGGGACCCTTTCAACGGGATTAGTGGAATCTTTATGATCAAAACCCTGAATCTGATCCGGTTTCACCTCTAATAGCGGTTTTTTCCTGCAATTTTATTTTCGGGGTTTTCTGCTTTTTTTATTTCCATTTTCGTTTCTCCTTTCATTTTTCTTTCTTTCTTTTAAGTCATTCACAATTCAAGAATAATTTTTGAATTTCATGAACTTATTTTGAATCTCGCAAACATTTTTCCCTAAATGCGAGAACGTTTCTTGCATTTTGGGATTTTTTAAACATGTTTTAAATTCATTAAAACTTTTTGAAATGTGAGACTTTTAAAATTGTGTTTTTTAACTCATGAACTTTTGAAATTTATGATTTTTTAATTCACTAACTTTTTTGAAATTTTAAAAACATTTTTTATATTTTCGATTTATTTGAATTCATGAACATTTTTTTTTCTAGATTTTTATTGAAATCGTGAACATTTATAATATTTGTGAAAATTTTACAAATTGCGCAAACATTGTCATTTTTAAAATCCGTGAACATTTTTTGAATTTCGAAATATTTTTAAATTCACAAATATATTTTGTTTTTGAGGAATTTATTTGAATCTATGATATTCTACAATATTTAGGTTTTTGAAAGGATTTTTGTATAAAATTTAAAAGGTAGTAAAAAGGGAAAAAATAAACGTAAAAGAAAATGGCGCCCGCGCCCAATAATGGGCTGGACGAAATCGGGCAGGGGAGTGCGCGTTTGGTAGGTGTTCTGCGACCCGCGCGGTCGCAGACGAGAGCGGCGACAAGCCCTCAAAAAAAAAAAAAAGACGAGAGCGGCGACCGAGCAGGCAGGGAGGCCGGCGGCGACCACGACGGCGACCGGCGGCTGCGCAGGTGCCTTCCTCCCCTCTTCCCCATCTCCGACCCATCCCGCATCCCTGATGCCGTAGCTCCTTCCCC